GCTGGAGGTAAGCGGAGTCAAGAGTGAGTGTCAGTGCTGATGGCGGCGAACGTGACGGGCTTCTTTGCCTGCTTCTAATCGGCAAAGCCACTACGCTTCTATTTTTCAAGGCTGTGAAAATTGTTGCCTGTGAACTATGCGTCTAACAGGAAAGCTTGTATGACCGCAGACATATTAAAGGATTGGCTGATGAAATTTGATCGCAAGTTGGCGTTAGCGAAACACAAAATGTTGCTGCTTGTGGACCAGTGTAGTGCACACGTGCCATTTATGTCACTTACCTGTCAGCGAACAAACACATCAGTGTTGTAACCTATGGACCAGATAAAGAGCATGAAAGTACTTTATTGGAAATATAAAGCGGATGCTGTTGTGTATGGACAATTCAATAAAATATGAGGTGAGCCTTCTATGTGCTGTACATATGCTTGAGGTCGCGTAAAGGACGAGACCATAGCGAACCGCTTTAGAACAGCGCGGTTTAGTTGCAAGTGCTGCAAATGATTCGTTTCGTACAGCAGGGGAAGCAGACACAAGTGAGATAGATGTTGACAGTCTCCTGCCGGCTCTCGGTGACGTCCCTTTCGAAGAATGCGTTGCTACTGACAGTGCCGTAGGAAACGTGCGGTGCGTTGACGGGCCCTGAGATCGTTAAGATAGTAAGGATAGTCACAAGACAGAAGTGGATGACAACGATGTTGCAAGTGAGCCACAACCGTGAGCTGCTGATGTAGCCGCGAGCCTTGGCCTCGCGCACCGGTTTTTTGCTGCTGAGAGCAACGCAGAGAAGCTTTCAGGCACATATACGTACAGACTGCAAGACTTGCTTTCTGCTGCAAGATTTAGCAGGCAAAAGCAAACTGCAATTGCCGATTTTTTCGTTAACTGCTTTGAAGTAAATCTATTTTTGGTTTGCTGTGGTTAATTGGAATTTCATTTAATTGGAAGTTTTCGACAATCCCCGTGAACTTCGTGTTAACAAGAGTCGACTATAGTTGTAATAGGCACAAGCGTACTTTTTGAGGTTGCTGTCACAGACGTAGTTGTGCTCCTTTTAGCGAATGATTCACGGCCTTGAAGATGCCTTTTGAACTCTGAGAATAGCCCTTTTAAAATTGCAGTTGATTGGATAAATCCGAATTGCCAAAACTTTTACTGTAAGACAACTGTTTCTGATTTTTTTTCAGATTAATCTAAAAATGCTGAGCTCTAATGACAAGTGAGCATTGTCGCTCATTTTGCTCAGTCGCCCCGCTGCGGTGGCCTAGTGGCTAAGGTACTCGGCTGCTGACCCGCAGGTCGTGGGTTCGCATCCCGGCTGTGGCGCTGCATTTCCGATGGAGGCGGAAATGTTGTAGGCCCATGTGCTCAGATTTGGGTGCACCTTAAAGAACACCAGGTGGTCGAAATTCCCGGAGCCCTCCACTATGGCGTCTCTCATAATCATATGGTGGTTTTGGGACGTTAAACCCCACATATCAATCATTTTGCTCAGTCTGTGTCACAGTTTCAACATAGCAAGCTTCCCATGCATTCATTCTATCTTATGGGGGCTGTGCTGGTTGTGGACAAACGCTACATTCCAGTCGGATAACGCACAAGACCCTACTCTGCTGTGTAACCCTTCTGAAGAAATGGACTACTCAATGGGCAGACACGAGTCTCCAACAAGAGCAGCAGCTCTAGGCAGAAGACACTTATCTTGCATGCCTCAGCTTTGCTTACTGCATCTGCCTAATTCATTTCAGAAGCACTGTATTTACTTTATTTTAATGCTACGTGTGACTTTTCATTGCACCCAGGAAGAAAAAAAATAAACACGAATGTAATGAGAGTGCATATTTCTCGAGTGCAATGGGAAAGGACTGTCAGCGCAATGTAAGACCTGCAAAGGCATGAAAGAAACGCATTTATGGCTCAAACACAGTCACAAAATGTATTATGACCTGTCTCAAACCGTGGTATTTTGCAGCCAGCCCACATGGTGCATCAAACTTTGTTCACATGGTTTCAACTGTATCTGCTCGACAGTAACTGTCATAAAGCGATAGCACTGCTTATGTGATGGAATTAGCGACATGCTGCTCTATTTCAAATTGGTAGCCTTTGTAAGGGAGGGAAACCTTGTCTGTTGTATTTGCGCCTGAAAAGGGGCCCCTGCTGAAGCTGCCACTCACAGATGGTCACCTCACTCATGCCGAGACTTTAAAGCCACCAAAATGGTGCGCTTCTTGCTTGAAATGGGTGTTCAGTGAGCTCAACACGTTCCCTTTGCAAGGGTTGCCAAAGGAAAGTTAAAGCACCCAAGGCATGCCTGTCGACTCTCGCGAATTTTCCGGGGGACTCCTGTGTTATGACCTAATCTCCGGATTGCACAAATGCTATCTCAAATTTTCTGAGAAGTGGCTGTTGCAGCAGGAGGCTTTTTTTTTTTTTTTTTTTAATTGTGCATGACACTCTTTTCTCGTGCAACAGTTGCGGCACTGCAGAAGTGCTCTCGCCACCACACTTCTGTAGTTTATTATAATGGTACCATAGAGTGGCACTATAGCACCACGCATCTGGGCAAAGACCCATGGCTGCGAGACGTGCTTGCCACCTGTACCAAAAGACAGCGAAGGAAACAGTACTGCACCTCCAACTTTTGTGTCTCTCCCCCCTTCCCCTTTTGCGCCCACACTTTATACGCTAGGCCTACTCTGCCTACCCAAGCGTCGGTTCTATGTGTTTTGTTGCTGGGTAAATGTACCATGTCGCGTATGTGATGTGCCCATCATAATAGAATCGAGTACACCAATGCCTTCTGCGAGAAACCAACACCGTGAATTTTCAGTTATAATAATATTCGGAGTTTGAAGTCCCAAAACCAAGAGATGTTTTGAGAGACAGCCAAGGTTCGTACCGGTCCTTGAAAACCCTTGAATTTCAAAAGTGCATTTTCAAAGCCCTTGAAAGTCCTGGAATTTTTCGGCATCTTTGAAAGTCCTTGAATTTCCTGAGTAGTGCACTCTCATATAGACATTGCAACCTCCTAAATATGGTACATCAGTGTTGTGAACCTGTCAGACTCCTCATTTCTGAGGTATTAATTCAGCGTGGTTGCACATGGTCCCATTTTGCAAAAGTGCGTGTGAAAAAAAAATTAAGTTTCTGAGTAAAGCCGTGAATGTGACGGCAAGAACTTGAAATGTCAAACGAAGAAGGGCAAGCAACCCCATACATGCAGCGCACCACTTAAGCACGGACGCACGAAAAGCGAGTGCACAGGACGAGTGCTGATGAACTACGTTCATAGCTCGACACGGGAAGCGTGTTGATTAAACAAACCAAGAATGGTCTTGGAAAAGAACACTCTTGTACCCACAAGATGAGTGTAAATTAACCACTGTCCCAGTTGTTACTACTTAGTTGTTGAGCAACGTTCTGCGAGTGTGAACTGTGCACAAGCTGACACTCTTGATGGTATGCTGCCATCAAATTTCAAGGCTATAGCAAGCACCGTGTGTCTTTAACAATATATTTTATGTGACTTCCCAAGTATACCTAAATGCTCCTTCTCCTAATCGAGACCTATCGCGAGCACGTCCAACATTGACCTGGTTTTACAGGAAAGGCAACTAAAGTTCTAGTGATGCCACATCAGATCTGTAGTCAGCTGAGTGACCTCCAGACTTCCGCCCCGTTCATACCGGCAAAGCATCACGGCTGCTGCAGGTAGCGGCGAGTTTGTTTTGCAAGTGCTTGTGTGGCACATGTGTGCGAATAGGTTTGTCGCATGTATCACAGGAGTCATCTACCGGATCCCATTAACGTGCGATACATGCTATATAGGCCAAATCGGTAGATGCATCAATGATAGGTTGAACGAACACAAGAATAAAATGGCCAAGGCACAGCCTGAGGGTTTTCTTGCAATTCACTGCAAAGAATGCGGGTGCCAACCTCTCTTTAATCGCACCAGCATGATAGGAAGAAGCACTAACCAAATGACAAGGCTTATAGAAGCGAAATTCATTGCTAAGTTTGGGGACACATGTATAAGCAAGCCATTGGTATCATTATCATTGAAAGAATTGCATTATTTGGATGTCGCATGAGTTGCAGTAGATCACAATTTTCTGGTTCTAGCACGTGGGTGTGACGTGCCATGTTTGGGTATAAGTATTGCTGTTTCTCGGATTAAACCACATTGTTGAGAGATATCACCGTGTATGTGTTCTGCGTCTTCTTCTCTGTCCCGTCCTGGATGCGCTATACCTCGAGCAACATGAATAACCAACATGCCCGCCGTGCAACCATAGACTGAGCACTATAGCACCACGCATCTGGGCAAAGGCGTAAATTGTTATTTATTTGACATTAGTGTCTTTTAAGGTTGGAGTTTTCCACTCACCGTACTGTCTTGGCAACGTGCGTAGGCAGGGCGCTTCGTGCTTCAGGAGTCGTTCCGTGACTTTGTTCGGCTTAGCGGATAACTGCCAGAGACATCCCAGCACAGCAGTCTACGCCTGTACCCTCATGGACTCTCGCTGAGAACGGCGTTGCAACAGCTGCCACGAATAGAACCAAAACAGCAGCCAGCTGTGAGAACGTCGCTTCCAACTGAATCCGGTGACAGGTGGAGTGATGCCCAGCCCAGAACAAACCCCGAACCGTCGAAGGCGGAACTAGGGGTCAGGGCGTGGCCTGATCTTCGCACTCCAATGCTTCTCTGCCATAAACTGCGCGGACCCCATCGCTCGAGAGCTTGCCTCGAGACCGCCGCATGAACACACGCATAGTTGCACTGCTTCAGTTCATAATCACTATCACTGTTATTGTGCACACTTCAAATCGGCGCTGCACACCGATAACAATAAACGTCACAGCCAACACACATTCTCAGGTATATGTTTTACCGCAAAGGGAAATACTGGTGCATCGAGCTTTGATGTAAATAACATAGTGCTCCAAGTTACTGGAGATGTGCTAACTGAAGCGAAATCTTCTTGGTAATGCAGGACGATGGGCAACCCCGCGGCTTTGATCGGGGGCTAGAGCCAGAGCGGATCATTGGTGCTACGGACTCCAGTGGGGAGCTCATGTTCTTGATAAAATGGTGAGTACCTAGCCAGTGTGGCACTATCACTCCTCTAGAGTTCAGACAGCACCCATTCCACCACAACCTCGATTCCTTTCTCCTAAAATTGTTTGGAATTGTGCCATCGCAGGAAAAACAGTGATGAGGCAGACCTGGTTCCATCACGGCTGGCCAACGTCAAGTGTCCCCAAGTGGTCATCCAATTCTACGAGGAGAGGTTGACATGGCACACGAACTCAAGCAATGCCAAGTCTGAAGATGCCGAGGAAGCTTCGTGAGGGGCACAGCGGGTTCAGGTCTCTTCTGGTCGCCCATCCGCGCTCCATGAATTGGCCTGAATTACGCGCCGGCACCCTCCAGTGGAGATGATGGACCTGAGCATGTGCCCCTTGGGACAACAGCGTTACGTGGAACAAGTCGGCAAAGTTGCTGCTGGTGGCGACAGGCAGAATGAGCCTCTCGCAGCCTCGACATGGGCCGTAAATAGCGTGCCTTGTGTAGTACTATCTGGCCTTTGGTGACATCCCCGTGAAGTAAAGCGAGTGACCGTAATTTCATTGATTATTGTTAGTGCTGCATTGAGCCAGGGGCACATGCTGGGGTCCATTGGCTTGTATCGCAGTGGCTTCCCACCTACAATTGGCTACCAAAATGCGGGACAGCATATTGTTGACGCCCACTGCAATTTTTTTTTTTTTTTTGAGGGAAAAATTATCTATACGAGTACTAGTACAATGTTTGAAAAAAAGTGAGAATTAGTTTTTCTTTTTATGCCCAGTTCTTTTCACTTTTTACGTCCCCCTTTCTATTTCCCTGTAAGCCTACAGGCTTCTAGTGTGTTTGTGAGAAGTCATATACCACATGTTTATTTTTACACATTTGTCCTCTTGTGTAGCGCGCTCATCTATGTGCTTTTTTTTTTTTTTTATGCGACGGTTCCGTCGGCTTCTTGAGCCCATGTCGAGTTCGTCTTATGTCATTACATTGCCCTTTTTTTTTTTTTTTTCTTGTGTTCATCTCACTTTGGTAACTGGTGTTTCTCTCCAAGATGCGGGCCCTTTATAGGCCTGTCTATTATATCCAGGCTGTTACTCGGAACTGGGCCACCAGTCATGTACCATAGCAGCCTGCAAAGGTTGGCTTGTCATTTGTAATGCCCTGTTTTGGCCAGCGGTCAATAAAATGCTGAAGAGGCCCATGATGTGTATTTGTTACTTTTTATCCTCTTGTCTGCAGCTGTTATCGTTTCCAAAAAACACCAACACAAATGCTTGCATAGTTGGAACCTATGGGTAGTATGTACTGGCCTCTCCACTCTTACTCGTAGCCGCCTGCCACACAGGGGAACTATTCACGAGGTGTCCACTTCGGCCTTCCACTGATCAGCTCTGCGAAAAGCGCCTGCCTGTTTTCCCGTCTTTCTTCCGCAACATCACTTTGACGCCACGACTAATGCTTCCCCCGAGATCTGCTTTTGAATGCGCATCTCAGAGGCCATGCATGAACTCTTATCATGTTAGCGTTTAAATTATGTTTAATGCGGTCGCCCTACTGACACACTGAAAGGTAGGTACACATTCTCTGCATCGTTCTTCAAATGTCTCAACAAGTTCATGCGCAATTTCAGACTTGTCAAGTTTAGAAGTTCTGTTGCGGCACATTTCATCCACTTCCTTTTTCTCTTGGCGGGGAATATGCTGGCAGGTTCGATGAGTCGGTGGGGGTCTAAAGTACCTTTTTTTTGCGTAACTGAACACGCTTCACCGATGCAGACATGTCCACTAAGTGGACACCACGAGAATGTTGTCCCAGGGCGTTAGCTGCATAGGCTACAGCACCAGAGCATGCAGCTCTTGCTTTGCTGTGAAATGTAGCAACAACACAGTGTCCATGTGTATCGTTTCGGTTTAATGCACTAGATGCACTGGGTCGGTGAGGCTGTGCCGAGCCCTGTTCACAGTTTAGTGTGGACGTGCTTGTACATACTTGCACGGAGTGGTGCCTTCACCTGCGCATGGAGTAAGGTTTATCACAATGTGTGAAGGTTGCACTGGAGCATGCCTCCACTCACAGTTGTAGCATTATGACATATCCGAGTGTAATGTTCGTCAACAACAGGATAGGCTCAAGAGAAGAAAAAGCCAGATAATTTAGTACACCGAGATGCTGAAAATTCGAAGGTGACGGAAGTACCAGGCCTGCTTTCTAGTCAGTTCGGAATCTAAGCAACTCGTTCACATATGACTGCTGTAGCCTTCGAAGTTTTCGGGCAGATGATTAGGGAACATAGAAACTTGGGTCAACGGCTAAACAGAGTGCAACATGATGCGTTGTCAAAGGTGCAGTTCACACAGTTGTCAAAGTGTAGCTTACCAGTGTTGTAAAAAATGAACTTTGTCCTTAATCAATTCATTGCCTCAACCGAGGTTCACCTGGAAAGTTCTTCATGTTGCAGTGATCTTATTTCGATTCATGGTGACGCCGTCTTTGGCTAATGAGCGTTTGTTTTGACGGTTTTATGCGCCGTAATATGAAACTGTGAATGTACTGGCCCAGGCGTTTTCGTGCGTGCTAGGTCACCATGACATTGTTTGATGCAGATGCAAGACTACAACGTTATCTGTCCAAGATGGCGGCGCTCCAGTGCGTTTTTCGACGCGAGGCGCGCTCATCCAAACACCCTAGTGAAGTCGCATCTAGCAGGGGCTTAGACAGGAAACCTTTCAAGGGGGGGGGGGGGGCAACCATACTTGCATGTATGTTCGTTCGTGCGGTAGTATATGTGCGTGTATATATGCGCAAGCAAAATGAAAATTTTGGGGGGAAAGGTGACTTCTTTTTTTTCCCCTGGCCATCAATCTGGCGGGCATCTCTCAAGAGAACATCACCCGACGATCTCTCATACTGGCAACAAGGCCCCAAATGGAATGTAGGTGATCAAGCTCAATCGCACTGTATGCAGTGTTCAGGAAGGGCTCGTCGACGGAATTTCGCCTCACCCGCCCCCTACCATTAGAAAGTTGTGCGTGCGCCAACGTTTGGCACTAAAAACCATGACCAAAAGGGTAGAAAATAATTTTGAAGTACTCCTTCCTCTGTGCCTGCACCGTCAGATGCTTCTAGAATGCCTTTAAGCCGGTGCGTCCTCAGCTCTTACAAAAATGAAAGCAAAAATCTTTTAAGAAAGTTCAAGAATTCCCTCCACCAATCGTGTAGTTTCATGACCAGTACGCAACTTGAATGAAGTAAAAACGACTTTGCTATAATTGGGGACATTGTCAATTTTGACCAATGTAGCTTTTACGGTGTACATCAGCCGCACGTTCACGATGTGGCCGAGTTCGAACCTACGACCTCTTGACCCGAGGAGTGCCTCGATGGCGATGCCCTGCACGCTCGCAGCATTGAGGCATGGTGCGGCAACTTCAAACCTCGTCGATTTACCTAGTGGTTTTGCCTGCTACTGGGATTACTTGAGGCCAACTGGCCCCTGTTGGGCCCCATTGGAAACCAGTTGCTAAGGGTCTTGTCTGTTACTGAAACCAGTTCGACCCAACTGAAAACCGTGTTACTTCCCAACTGCTACCAACAGAAACCAGTTAGCCCCAGTTAAAACCACCTAAAACCCACTTGGATATTTTAACGTGGGAAGAAAACAAGATCGCGTATGGTAATTTACAATTCCACAATACCGAAAACACCATTTTTACTGCGAGGAGAACTTGGTGACTACCTCCCATATGAATACAGCAATTAATTCTTGGCCCTCAGCCCCTAGCGGCTGCGAAGCAACTTGCAAGGTTGTGGTCAAGACCTGCGACGCAGTGGAGAGTGCTAAGAATCTCTGGGTCTAGATAGGCCGCCATTGGAATCTGAACTTGACTACCTTCAACGCTGGAACGCTATCAAGAGAGGCTAGTCTAGCTATGCTATTCGAGGAATTCGATGGTGTTAAATGTGATATAATAGGGCTCAGCGAAGTTAGGAGGCTTAAACAGTGCTGAAGAACTGACACGTCCTATACACAAGAATATCGCTGGCAACATAGAGGAAGACTCTAGCATCAGTGAGAGGTTGTCAAGTATCTTAAGTTTAACAAAATGTGCCAGATGAAGGTGTTACAGGCCTACGCGCCTACATCGAGCCATGATGATCATTTGGTTGAACGCTTCTACGACAACGCGAAGAAACGAGCTGACATAGTTATAAAAGCGTGTTCTTATAGTCCGGTTTCCTCAATAGAGGCAAGAATGAACCGGGCATGCATGCGTTCTATGCCGATGGCATTACAATATGGTGTACGGGGGGTAACGACGGGCACATCGAAGAAAGACTGCAAGACGCAGTTAACATGGTACAAGCGTTTCTACGGAAGGTTGGTCTCTCCTTATCAGCAGAAAAATCAGAGTTACTCCTTTACCACCGCAAATACAAGGCACATAAAGACGTTTACTCAGTAACCTTCTTATGGCAAATAGTTTTCGGTAGGGCAAGTACGCATTTTCGGCATGATTATAGAAGCCAATGACAATAACGCTGTCAGCGTGACACGCATCTCGAAAATGGCCGAAGCAATGACAAAACTTATCAATACAGTGGCCAAGATCCGAGGTGGACTGTCTGACGAGAATTTCCGAAGACTTTTCCACGCGTTTCTTATGAGCAACATCAACTACGTCGCCCCCGCCAATCTGTGGGAGAAATAGAACGAGAACCGTCAGGACGTAATCATTAGACGTGGTGCGTTAAACAGGACCTCGAGTTACCAAGCAACATACGCACAGTAAAAGCTCAATGAGCTAGGTATACACAAAAGGTTGAACGAAATTTTCTAAGCGCAGAAGTTATCCCCACTTGTAAGGCAGCCTTCCGCTGAGGCTGGGTGACGTTTATTGGAACACCTCGGGCTCAGTTTTCCCGTTACCCAACAAAGACAGTGCCACCTCCCCGAAGAGTTGCGCGCTAAACTTACAGTATCCCCGATACCCCGGCACATGCACCCCACTCATACTGTGGGAAGAAGGCAGGCAGGGGCACGAGCCCTACTCAGTATACCGCCGGCGTTATGTAGTATAACGTGGCCTTCGTAGATGCAGCACAGTACGGTTACGGGGATCACTTTGTATCAGTTGTGACCACAATTAAATGCGACCATTTGTCGTCACTGGCTTTATTACACGCGAACGCAGATAGCGCTGAACAGGTTGCGGTAGCACAGGCTCTTGCTACCACGGTGGTGGTGGTGAAAACATTTATTAACCATTAAATGGTTACAGAGAGGTGATTGGGTTGGGGCCTTATTGGCCTCCTACCCTCACAGCACTAGGTGGAACCCCTATTCCGGGGCTCCATTGGCAAGCAACGCCACCCGCGCACGTTGAACCAGAGCCTCTTGGGCCTTCAGGTCTTGACAGCCGAGCAGGGCCGCCTCCCAGTCCTCTCTCGTGGGATTGGGGTTGGGGGGGATAGATGGATTAGACTGGCACGCCCAGACGATGTGGAAGGTGTCAGCCACCTCACCACAGAACTGGCACGTGCCATCAAAGGATGAATTGAAATGTTTTAGCACCGCCGGGCACAGTACAGTATTGGTAAACAGTTTTAAAAGGAGGCGCTCGTCAGCGCGATGCAGTCCCTTACAAGGGTCTGGATAGCGCCGGTGCTCCTCCTTGTAGTAATTGGTAATATCTTTGAATGAAAGGGCCGAATTGTCTGATTGCGAGTAGGCTTCCAAAGACAGGGAGATAGCCCGGGAAGAGAGTGCGCGGGCGGCCTGATCGGCCTGTTCGTTACCCCTGAGTCCTTGGTGACCGGGCGCCCAAACCAGATTTCGCGGAGTTGGATTAACGTATCGGCAGCTAGGTTCCAGTATGCGCTGAGCAAGCGGTTAAGCCCACCCTAGCTGATAGTTCCGACAGGCCCCTCGTGAGTCGGTGATGATATGTTTAGAAGAGGGATAGGTGAGAGCCAGAGCGATGGCAACCTCCTCCGCGTGTGTTGCGCTGTAGGCTTTGAAAGTGAGCCCGTTTACGGTGTTTGCGTTGTGTATGACTGCGGCAGTATACCACCCCCCATGGTGCGGGCCGGCAACGTCCACGTAGCACACGTGTTCCTCTTGACCAAAGTGTCGCTGCAACGCTTCCGCGCGCGCCTGGCGGCGACCACTGTGGTTTTCTTTGGACATGTTGCGGGGAAGGGGTC